TAACTTTCCATGTGGGATAGATGATTTCTGTTTTAATCTTAAATACTCTTAAATAAAACAAAATTGTCCACTTTAAATGATCCGATAAATAAAACCTCGTTATTGTGAATATTATACACCGTTAATGAGATTAAACACTATGTTAAAGTCTGACGTACAAACGTTGTAATCATATTCCAACAAATATTTTTTTAATACAGACTTGATAAAATATGTACCAACATCGTAGTTTTCGCTGCATAGAAATATCATATTATTATTATTAATTATGATTCGTGTATATGTCGTGTCATTACAGAATTATTAATTAATTAAAATGTATTATTATTTTATACATTTGATAAAATAAGATTCTGTTAAGTTTTTTGTAATCATAATGTAAATGCATTATTGTAATATTTAATACATTAATAAATAAAAGAATATAAGCCTACATGATATAATAATATTTGATTTGGAAAATGATAATTATTTTTATTTAAAAAGTGTTCAGACGACAAATTCAAATCGACTCTCACGCATACTACGACAAATGTATTTTTGATTTTCGTTGAAACCGAAATCAATATCATGTTCATTCTTAAATCAAGGTTTGGAACTATTTTTTCTTCTTATAACGCGAATCAATTAACGTATTATGTTTTTAGTACTCGATCACTATTTTGATTTTAGCGAGAGAACGGTCGAAAACACGAATTTTTAACTCTATATAATTTGGAAACCTTTTAAACTGATAAATCAATAATGAAAAATGCGATTTCATCATCAATAATCGTTATTATAGTTATGCAAATTTAATTGAACATTTCACTCACGCTGAATCCTAAATGCTTACGAATGCAAGTTACGATGTGTCAATACATCAACAATTTTTTTTTCATTTGTAAATAAGTACTTCTCTCAGAATCTAAAACTATAAGATACATTGTAAAAAGAAATTAATCAAGTGATAAAATATTCTCTTTCATAACTAATTTACTAAAAAAAAAAAAAAAACAACGTACGCTAAAATGATTTTCTACCTAAAATACAAAAATAGGATTTAGATTTCGCTTTCGTAATCCAGCGTCGTTTTGGTTTTTTTTTATTAAATTGTGTACATAATGTGTTGATTTAAATGTTGAGTTTCCCCTTCAACGATTTGTGCACTATAGTAACTACAGTTCAAGAGCTAATAAAATGTATCCAGACGTAGCCCATACTCACGATGAACCTATGGAATTGTTTTACTAAAGAGACATATTGAACCCTAAAAACGACCAAGCAGTGGTTATTAAGTAGCTACGCTTCTGTTATCATTTGAATGTGAATAAATGGCTTACAGTTAAATGAACTCTGTGGTAAGTACAGACGACGCTGTTCGTTACCCAATAGAATTCTTGAAAACTTTAACTTTAAGCCAATCTGGTTTTCCATGCCGTTGGTTATTGTTGCGTATGTCGGGGAAAGGGAAAGCATCCATAATGCGACTTATAAATGTAAAATTATCTAAAGTTTATAACGGCACGGGGCTACAAGTTGATTAATTACAACTTTCGACATAGCGTTTTTTTTTTTTTTTTTAATCTCGTTTGCGTTCATACGACTGAACCCTGGCTAAACGTTTGCTAAACGCTAACTCTGCGCTAGGTAATGAAATTTAGTTTCGTCTATACATTTGATAATGCATTAATTCAGATACGCGTCGAACATTTCAAATAGAGTGTCTCGATAGATCGCACAAAATACAAATGTCACATTGTTCAATCATGCAGACGTCACAAGCTTACAGCTCACGGTAGCTAATGACCAGTAACATTTTCTCATGGAGACACGGACACGAATGGTATGTAATAAATCGCGTTTATTCGGTCGTAATCGAAACGCAATAAACACTTCGGTTAGCTGCTGGGTGCTATCAGTCACCGTGAATGAATACGAATACGATACCGCGCGGATTTTTTTTTTTTTATATAAACGTACAGCCTGATTTCGCAAACGAGACTACAGTCGGGTCGCGACAGCACGATAAACTTGACAACTCGAACTTTTTAGGCATTTATTTCCCTCGATATATTCTCGGTAACGCTATCATTGGTTTCGTTAACTCGAATAGAATAATCGTTATTGTCCAGAGCTTTTTTCGCGCATTCGTTAGGTCAACATTTGTTATAATGTACAACATGTATATTATACGTCCATTGTCCCCATGACACTATGGTTTTATTAATAAAATATTGATAATTCTGATAAAGCGGACACATGGGATACGATGTTATTACGTTTTCACAAACTGAACGAATTAATTTCGAATAATTTTGCAATAAATAAAAAAAAAAGTTTAAAAATTAATATACAAATTAATGCGAATAAAAATTATTGTTTCATATCACTTTTTTACATACCTCGGCAGTGACGGTTATACATGATGTTCAAGGGGATGGGAGTGAAAATAAAACCAACCCTTCCCCACCCCATACCATTTTTATATATATATTATAAACGTATAATATAAAATATACATACGGATTATAGGGTATAAATGTATAATATTTATATATTAATAATATTAACACTAACATTAATATACTGAAAAAAAGATAAAAATGTATCTTATAATAAAAGCATATACCTAAGTATTTTTTTTTTTTCATTAGCAAAGCGTATCATAACATAATATTATCTATATTAACATTTATGTCTCTATGGATATGTAGCTATCCCATTTAATCAGACTTCGCTAGTAGTTGACTTCAATCATGTCTTCATTCTAAGTGAATAAAGCAAATCACATGCTTAGTAGCAATACATAGCATTGAATAATGTTAAATAAAAAAATATTAATCAAGGAATTACTCAAAAGCAGAGCTTGAAACCTCTCCCGGAAAATGGGTTAACGGGTTTAGGAAACCCGGAAATTTTTTCGGAACCAGTTGCCGGTCTTCGTGGTTTTTAGAAATAGTGGTAATTGATAATCGGTAACCGGTTACCAAAATAATTATAACAAATGGGATTACTGGTTGTCTGTTTGGAAGCAGTTTTAAATCATTAAACTTACCGGTGATCACTTTTAAACCTTGTTTTCGTTTTTTTTCAACAGTCGATTTAAACTTAAATCTTAAGTACCTACTCTTAACAAACCATTTATGCATAATGTTGTGGTGTGACTGTAGGTAAAAAGAGTCATAAAACAAAAATAAAATACTACATAGCTACATAAGTAGTATACGTATATCTTATTTTTCTTTAAGATACATAAATAATTTAAAATTATTAACAAAAAAATGAATCTGTGTATTCCATAGTGTATTACTCTATAATGTGTACTTGTAAAAATATTAAATATTAAACTTAGAAAACATATTTAATTTCCATACCTATCTTATTTGCTATTATAATCATAATTTCATTGAACAAATCAGATAATGATGATCTTAAGTCATTACGTATAAACTTGAGATCAGAAAATTAACATTCTACAGTTACCTATAACAGTTCAATCTTAAATAATTTAATAATATTTAGTTAAATGAGTACAGCTAAATTTCTACTAATAATTACTACATTTATTTACAAGGTAACGTTAAAATGGTTTTAAATCCACAGATATTTGTTTTATTTTTTCTGGTAAGTTATAAAATTGAAATTAAAATTTACTAACCAATCGATTGGCTCAATTCAATAATTTATAATTTATTTACTTTTTGAACAATAATTGTTTTTGCCTTGGTATATTTAATAACATATATTTGGTAGTATATCATACATAGGTAAGTTATAAATGCATAATATTACATATCATATGTGTCAGCTATTAGAATAATCTGTATACCGAGAATCTACCCGCATTGTTTGTGAACCGATAATATTAAGGGTTCGAACACGGATTGTTAATTTTGTTTTGCTGTTTTTACATTTTTATACTTATTTCTTGATTCTAAAATAATCGAATATACTATTTTAGAATTATTTTCGATTATTTGTAATATAATTAAAAAAAAAAAAAATTGTTTAATGTTAATTGGTTTTGAGATTTATTGTATTGGTTTATTAACCGGTTCTAAAAATAAACGGTTACCATTATAGATTTCCACCCTTACCAATTTACGCAACTACCGGTATTCGATAACTACTTCTCTATATTGAAATACGAGAACTGGGAAACGAATACCAGCCCAAAGAGTAGTCATGGTAACTGGTTACTGGGAAAAATCAGTTACCGATTTCAAGTCCTATTTAAAAGCATTCAATCATTCAAGACTAATACATATTTTTAATGAAAATGCTTATATAGGAATATTGTGAAAAACATAAGCAAAGAAAATTAAGTAGGTACTTATTTTTACATAATATTAACAAATATTTTTAATTTTAATAGAGTGAAATAAACTAGAAGAATAAATTATTTATATTTTATACTACTATACCATTTAGTTAATATTAAGCCAAATATAATAATATAAACTAATATGTAAATAAAATTATTGATATTCAAATGTTTGTTTTATATATTATCCATGATTAAAGCAGAAAAATATTTTACTATCAAATCATAAGTTCGAAAACTTGCAGATAGTCGTTGTTGGGCCAATGACATACTAAATTTAAAAAAACCAAATCTCAAGGAAGGACAATCCACCTATCACTTCCTCTCTTTATAACCACCACTGTACCTTGGTCTTATTAATGACAGTCAATCGAAGATTTGCACAGTATTATTTCTTGATTTTAAATCATAGAAAAAAAAATATTACATTAGTATTTTTAGTATATTTAGGATTTTTGTGTTTCACCTTAAAATTGTTTATCATTAATAAGTACATTATAAATTATTATTGATACTAATTTTAAATATTAATTGACTAAAATATGAATAAAATACTATATGACACAATACTTGTCAATATAGTTTATAATAAATAATTATAAAAATTTCTTTTAGTTAAAAATAAATAAAAAATAAAAATAAAAATCACACAAGTTAAATATAAATAATCTATAAACTTAGTTATAAATCACACTAAATTAAGTATAAAAATTCCTTTGGTTCATGACATTTTTTTAAAATATAACTATCTGTGTACGGACAGTCTTACATACCAATTATATAAGTAGAAATAAAAATAAAAAATACCTATTATAATTAATTTTGTAAATACACGAACACTTGTTTTCTGCACCCTAAAGTCGTGCATTATGAATTATAATTATTATTCATTAGCTTCTATATAAAAATTGTAGTGATGTTCTTATGTGAGACTCGAGTCACCATTTAAATTACTCAAAGCCTCATTGTCCCCATTACTTATATTAGTTATGGTAGTATCATCTTCTTCGTCTTGATTATCATTATTATCGTCATAGCTCATAGATGGTAAATTACATGCACCATTATGATGGTAAGGTCCACGCGCATTCACCGAAAGGTTACTATAGACAATGTCACTACCCACAATGCTGCCAGTTAGAGAGGACGCTGTACCAGCTACCAACAGCGGAGCCAATTGATCAGTAAATTTTCGATAATTACGCTCCAGTTCGCGTTGATAATCCCGTTGATCAGGTCCGATGAGGGTTTTGTTTTTCGCTAAAGCGTCGGCACATCTATGTATAAAAAAACATTTATTAAACAACGTATACAGTAACTATAGTAAAATGTAAACAACACAGGTAGACGTCATGCTTGGATTGTGATTAACATGAAAATAAATAAAACAATGAATACATATATTATTTGTCTAATTAACCATGGTAAAAAATGTTATTTTAGGAGAAAATATATGAAGAAGAAACATTTATATTTTTGTTTATACATACAATCATGTATTTTACGGTGTATGTAATTAACTATAGAATATATAACAAGATTTTCAATAACTACCGAAAACATTAATATTATCAATTATTAAATATCATTAAATTCATTCAACAAATAATTAGTTATAAAAAAAATTTAATTATTTATCTTAGTATATTAATTTTAGTTGTTTTTAATTGAAAAGTTTTAACATCATATAGTTTAACTTATAGTGTTACTATATGTAAATATCTATTTGTATATGTAAATATATATGATTGTTATAAAAATTCGAAATAAGGTTATTAAAGTTATTGTTTATTAAATTACTAAAGAATATCTATAGTATTTTATAGCATTAAATGGTTTCTTTTAAGATCAGATTTATGGTTACAACAGGAGTATAATAGTTTGAATGTAGTAAACTAAAAATTTACAATTAGTTACAAATAATATATTTTTATTACTTTTTCGAAAAGTCTTTAAAACACAATCGTAATTTGTTTTGTAAACGAGGTGGTGGTGGCTGTACAACAGATTCATCCAAGGCATCTGGACTTTTATTACCACTACTCTTGTCATATCGTGGAGGAGTCAAAAATACTGTCGCCATTTCCATTGGTCCTCGATTTACAGTAGTGCCTATTAAAAAATATCAATAAATAAAATATTCAATAATATTATTAGTATAAAACATTTTAACTATTACCTATGCATCCCTGAAGAACCATTTGTAACATTTTCGGATCAGCAGGATGTTGACGCACACTACGTGCCAATTCGTCGGTTTTCTTACGCAAGTCTTCCAATGCCACTTCTATAGGCCCCATAACGACCGTTTGACGACTTTGTACGCGGATTCGAGTTTTTAAATATGGAAAGTTATGCGCAACGGTCAATATAGTCTTACGCTTGTACTGCTGATTTAATTGTCCATGAGCTCGACCATCGGGTGTAAATGGCGTAAAGAACACAAAACGCTCTAAATTGTTTTTTTTTTTTTTAATTAGTTTAATTATGTATACTAAAGTTGTATCGAATGGACAATTACTCAAGTTGAAATTCCTTTGAAAATGTGTGGTACGTATACGACATTCATAAGCATCAAAATACGGTTCCACGTAGGTAATTTGTATATACGCTTTCCGTGGATCTAATGTGCCAACGTCTACTGTGTTGGAATCTTTGATAATAGTCACACAGTCTTCACCAAATCGATTGGAATAAAAATTCTGTATAGTAGAAATAAAATACATTGATTTATTTTAATAAAATAATAATAAATAAGTATTGCACCTGTAGACGGCCAAATATTTCTGAAAGTTTCGTGAGAGTCGGTTCTTTGTAAACGAATTCCTCGCCGTCTAGTCCATCGGGTCCAAAAAACTTAGCGCCATAAAATCCTACACGGAAATACGTGCCAAACACACGGCGGCCTTGCAGCCGTTCCAATTTACTGTATGCATCATGTAATTTCCTATGTAATTAATTCTGGAGGTTATTACATGTACATCTTAAATTATATTGGTTATAAATTGAAATTAAATTATTAGTAATAGTATACTTACAAATACGTATCCGATAGCTTCTTGTAATCATTAGTCTTTTCTATCAAAGGTATTGCTACTTTGTTATACACTTGACTCATTACTTCAAACATACCAGCCTGTAATGATTAATAAAAATTGTTAATCATTTCGTTTTATTTGATGAACATTTTTCTTATCATTTAACCTTTTGAAATAACTCAGCCGATCTATCCAACAACGATACAAGACCGATTTCTGTGAATTCATCTCCTAAGCAGACTTGATCAGCTGCTTGACTAACTACCATTACGTCATCCGATACCGCACATTCTTCCAACACGTTGGGTGATATACATTCTAAACACGTTGCGCCTCGACAACCGACTAAATCGAGATTTTCTGTTGTAGTAAGATATTCGGCGACTAACGAAGCTCCATGAACTAAGCACATTGCAGCTTCGGTAAAATTGTTTCTCTAAAAAATAAATTAATTTGTATTTTATAAGAAATGCTTGGAAATAATTAATAAAACGGATACATAAATATTTATAAACACATTTACAAAATGTAGAACACATTAATCTAACCTGACTATGTTTTCGAGCCATATTTTCCAACCACGCAAGTCGTAGGTCTGGTGATGAAGTTTGTTGATAACCTTTTGCTACACGATACATTAAATCCATTAGCATGTCTGGATCTTGACTATATTCTTTCATTTGCACTGTGTCGGATAGTATTGTGTGTAAGTTTAATACTAAGTCTTTAACCTGAAGATTTAAACAAATATTATAAATAAACATAAAAATATTACACATATCAATAATTATAAAAACTCATAGACTCCAAGCGAAATTTCTAAAAAGTTAAGATCACGAATCGGTTTAAATCATTTAAATAACGCTCTTAAATTAATTTGTTCATAGAATTTCTTTTATGTATTATTTACAGTTTTATTATACCTGATCAGGAAATGTGGTATTTTGTAATTCAGCGGAGTCACGCTCGGCGTATAAAAGTATTGTTTTCAAAACTCGTCTTAAATATTCTTCGTTGAAAGACAATACTTCTTTCCTACTTTCACCCGTAGCTGTCGGCGACGCTCCAGCTCCTCCTATTAATATGCTTAATGCCACAGTTATTTGCATTTTTACTCGAGCAAAATTCTAAAAAAAAAAAAATGTACACTTTATATACAATTTAATTAAAGGACATGTTATACAAAGTAATGATTTAGAATAATGAACTTGAAACAGAAACTTTTACTCTGTGTACTTAGAAAATAAAATGTCCACTACAGTACAAGCGCAAAAACATAAAACACTTGGAATAAATATAAATTAATTACCTATAAATATGTCTGCCCTACATGTACATATTTAATCAACCCGATTGACCCTATGTAAGAATAAGTTTAAAAATGTTATACAATATCAAAAAATTTTAAACTTAAGTAAAAAAATAATTTAAATAATCTATATATTAATAATTACAACTATTTTTTTTCTGTGGAATTTTTACAAAAATCATTTAATTCGCATAGCTCAAAATATTATTTTAGATTCAAGTTATTAATATAATAATATAGGTACCGATGAATAAAATTATATTTTAATGTAATAATAGCTATTCATTAGATCACTAAAACTTAGAGACTAATTCTTAAAATTAATTTGACATTTTTCACCCTGAATTTGGGTACTTGGTACTTCAAAATAACCAAATCTAAATCATGTATAAACATACAATAATTAAAATACATACGTTTTCAATATCAAAATTTTGACGCATCAACGAATATAATGAAGCAGCGGCTTGCGCTCGGACTCCAATCGTACTTGAATTTATAGCACAATGCCGTAATAACATCAAAATCAAATTAGCACAACGATTAGTAGAAGAACTACTAGTAGAAAAATGGTAGTTTTCCATTCCTATGTCATCTTCTTCATTATCGACATCTAAATCTCTTTCATCTTGACCTTCACCGAATAATAATTCCGGAAACTTGGCAACCATCGATCTCTGAGTACCAAACATGCATTGAAGAGCTGTGTTTGTTGTTGAGTTGGTAGCATTATTAGTAGTAGAAGTAGCGGTGATAGTAGACATAGCTCGTAGAAGTAGTTTGAAAACACGATGTATAGACCAATGAATGGGACTAGAATTTTTTAACCCTGTAGGTAAGGATGCCACCTAAAAAAATAGAAAACTATTGTTGTAGTAGTTGGTCGATTACTACAAATATTACTTTAAGAAAACAAATAAAAACCTGAATAATCTGTTCTATAGTATCGAGTACTATGAAACCAATCTCATTAACTAAGTCAAATTCAACATCAGACTGATCTTGATTGATGCCAAATATCTTATCAAGTTGTTGTGGGCCATCGGCACTACAAGCACATGACTGTAACGACGAAGGTCTATTATACGTTAAAACGTGGTCTTTTCTCCATCGCACCTTGCTAGTAGTACCCGCATTTCCATTTCCGGAATCGAGTCCGGCTTAAAATATAATAAATAACCATCATTGTGTTGTATTGTGAATTCATATGACATATGTATACATATATTCATATGACTGCGGTAATATATAAGTATTAACGGTTTATTGATAATAATGATAATAATAATAATAATAATAATAATAATAATAACTAATAATAATGCAGAATAGACAACAACGTCAAAATTATATATTATAAGTACCAAACTAGTACACAAAAATATTTAAAACCTATAAAAATGTCAAAAACTGTAAATTTATATTATTTAATTTATAACTTCTTATTGTTTTTGGTAATGTGTTGTTTTCTGAAATAATAATCAATATTGTGTCGCACAAAAATATCAACATATTAGTTATACTATTTCTACGTGTTTTTTTTTTCATAATGTAGATACTATATATTAAGTATTGTATTTATAAGTTACTTATCAATTTTATAATAAAAAAAAAATTTTTTAAGTTATCTAGGTACTTTCCATATGTAGATAAAACATACAATTGCTATTTCAAAGATACAAAATGCTATGTTAATAAGTTTAAGTTTAAAAAATGTTAATAAACATTTATACTTCGGAAATAATTACTTAAGGTATCATTTAAAGCCAATATCTTTTTAGAAAACTTAAAACGGTAAAGACTAAAATTGTGATAATTTAGATATTTGTAATAATATCAAGACATTAATTATAATTTATTTTAGTTATTAATTTAAAACATTAAAAATATTTATGTTGTAGTTTTTCAATTTTAGTATGAACGAACTCGTATATCGTAATTATAGTAAATACATTTAATTACCAATACATTTTATAAAATATATGACATTTTATGATTTATTGATATGTATTTCAATTTATTTACCTTTACGTCGCATTAACTCTGATCTTGCTGATCCTTGACCTAATATTACTTCTTCGAGCCTCGACTTAACATCATCAGTAGTTGATAATTGTGTCGTAGATGTGGATGATAATGAAGTTGACGAAGCTGTTGTTGACATGTTATTGCTATTATCGGTACAATAAGTTTCATTTAAAACCGGTTGAGAGGAATTAATATTTGACGTAAACAAAGATTGACTGTTGCAATTAACGCATTTATGATTACCCTATAAATTTTAACCAAATTGATTAGAAACGTAATACTACTAAATTCATGAAATTCAAATTAAACGAATGAAGACCTTTTTATAATTATTTGAATTATTGTAGAAACGGTTAATACATAAAGTTAATAACGATAATGTATTTTGAGCTCTTTGGAAAGATGACTCTGCTAGCCACACGTGCATTACTTCATTATCTAGATTCTTTAATATCCATAGTATGCAAGCCAATACTTTAGTAGATGTTACTGCATTCAACTTAGATTTACGACAATTATTTTTATTTGTTTGTCTATACCATGATGCTGTGGTGTTTTTAACACCCATCAATGAGGATGCAGAGATGGCATTCACGTTATCATCAGAATTAGTTTCTGGAGCTGCAATTATTTAACAAAATAATCAACATTGAAAATAATATTATATATTATGTATTAATTTTTTACTTTTAAAACCGTCATTAGTACATGAATCAATGTCGTTTTCATTTTCTTTGTTAGGTTTGATTTTAATCATGTCATTATTTTCAAAATCCAATTTCAGTAAATTAAGGAACGACGAATCCGTTGTGACAGCTGTTAATAGAGGCAAATACATGAGTGTTACCCGGCTTGATGTCTTACGTTTTGACGACCATTTCTCTTGTTGATAACGAGTATCATGAGATGACATTAATCCTAATAACAAGTCGACCACTTTTTCTTTAACTTTCAAATCGCTATAACAAAATAAAAAATATATATATATTTGGCAACTATTTAATTTATATAAGCTACTCGTAGAATATTATTTCAGATACCTTTTAGTACACTGTAATACTGTGATGAACTCAGATAATACTAAGCCAACTAAATAATGGTGACGACGGAATGCTAATGATAACTCAGCATATTCTTTTACTGTGGATTCGGTAACTGTCATCATTGTACCACTAGCCATTGATAATGATTGGTTTGAAATAGTAGAAGCCACAGAGTAAGTTGGTGAAATATTATGAATATTATGACTAATAAGATTCAATGGAACATAATGTTCATGACTGCAGACAATTTTCAAGAAGTCCAACTGTGAAAATATTTTATATAAATATAAATTATTTAGTTAAAAAAAAATAATTCAATGGTGGCCGACTCCAAATAGTTGAGAAAAAGGTGAAGGAGAAGAAAAAATTAAAAGAATAATTTAACGTTATAGAATTAATTAACTCAAATTACTTTTAAACTAGATAAAGCGGAATAATTTTCGTGGTGTGGTAGCTGGATAAGAAGACTTTGCTGTTTTGAAAATATTGTTTTTACATATGTATTTATTAAGCCAAATACAAATCCTCTGTCTGCTAAAGACAACAAATCATGTATGAACCACGCTAAATTACAATTTATTATGTTCACCTGCTAAAAATATATAATTCATTAGTTAAAATTATTTTTAGTATTATCTTTTTTTTATATATATATTAAACTTAAACTAAACAATCCAAAAAATAAATAAATCGTTTTAAATAATATAACAAAATATAAAGATCATAAAAAAAAATTCATTAAAAGAATTATATGAAATCAAGAGATTTTTAACTGTAATTATTCTTAAAAGTTATTTTAATTTATAACAATGACAATAAAAATTTGAAAGAAAAATTATTTTATTCATAAAAAAAAAAATGAAAATAATTAGTTAATGTATTATTCAAGATTTTGTATCAAAAAATTATTTAAACCAGACTGCAAATTATTTTCATATGAACAATGTTACATTGTAATCATAAATTGTGTCAATTATTAAACAAAATGCATACACGTGTATTTAATTACTAAAAGTATACAGATATTGTTACTGATGTTACATCATCTTTATGCAGAATAATTATTCAATATTATTTACATCCATAGTAAAATTACTTAGGTATTATATAAAAATAAGTATTTATTAGAACTAGTTAAATACTTTTGCATATTATATTCATTTTTCAACAAGAAATATTTTTAAATTGATTACTAATAAATATTATTTATAATATTAATATAAAATTATAATTATTTGATAAGACATAATATTTTACATAATTGAAGAAATAATAAAAATATTGTTTTTATGCATTTAAATTGTAACATTTAATAATAGTCATTATTTGATTATTGAACCAATGAAAGAGATAACTGATTTTATAGATTATATACCACTAAATTTATTTATTTTTCAATATTCTTTTAGTATATAAATAAAATATTATTATTATATATTATTTTATAAATATAAATATATTTATACTTTGGAGCATTTTTCATAATTAGATACAATATCTAGAGCAAAACTTGTGCATAATGTGGAAATGTCATCAAAAAATTGATCACTAAACCGATTTTTACGATCACTATCTAACCCTCCAGGCACCATTGCTAATGAAACGGCCATACTTTTTACTATAACGTCAAAGAAAAATCTAAAAAAAAAAATTAAATTGTATAAATTTTAAGTTCAAAAATAAAATAATAATAATTCTAAATTCAATGAAGTTTAACCTTGAATTGTTAGCAGCTGCATCCCTGCGTACTGTACTAGTTGATACTACCCACTGAAACGCTAATTCTTCATGAACACTTTTGATATTAGTCAACCTTTTTTGATCAGAACAAAATAACTGACTTTGTTGCTCTTCAAATTGCGTTGGTGGAAGGACACCTTGACAACGACCTTAAAATAAGTCAACTGAGTATAAGTACAAACTAACAATATTAATCAACTTTAATAGTAATAGTCAAACAATAAATAATTAGATATTAAATCACAACAGTAAATTATAATAAATAAAATACTAATTTAAAATTTGCAAAAATTATATAATTTCTAGTACCAGTTTTCATACTGCATGCTCTGTCCAATCCACTGTTTTTAAATGCAGCAAATGTGTTACCATCCAAAAGAGGTGAAGAACATGGTTTTTTAGTTGAATCAGGATCACTATTACTTCTATACAAAAAATAAATGTAATTATAATATTTAATATATATATAAATTAAAAATGCTATTGATTAAGTTCTTATTTAACGTGTCTATTACCTCAACCGAAAATATTTATCAAGCCTTTCTGAATACTCTTGCCCACTAGAGTAATCATTTTCATTCTCATTAGTATTAGTTTTAGCATTTGCCGCCGCTGCTGCAGCTACATTACAACAACAGCATTGATAACGCACATAAGATGATAATATTTGTTGTCCTTGAGAATGGCTCTATATTCAAAAATATATTTTATCAGTTATAAATGAATTAATCAAGGAATATATACAATATTACCATTGTCATTGAAACTAAGTCAGTCAGGGTACGAAATATTGTTAGCCCTAAATTCATGGATTGTTGATGTTGAGTAACAGGTGATTCCACTAAGAGAGAAAGCAATTTGTCGAATACTACTGGTACAAACTCTATTAGTGGGTCAATTTGACATCGCGCCAAGTTTGAAATCCTTCAAAATATAAAATATATGGTTATTTAATATTAGTATTAAATAATATAATTAGATTAGTATAATTTGTGTACATTTATATTTTTTGAGACATAAATATATAATAAGTAAATATATATTTTAAACTAATTTGATTTTACCTATGTTTTAGTTCTGCTTCAATATTGGATTCAGCAACTCGGCGTGGCAATGGATTATGTTGCAACACAGAACAGTAGTTAAAAAAATTGTTTAAATGAATATCCTAAATAATATATAACTAGTTAAATGCGTACACAGACCACCAATTATAACACAACTTAAATGTATATAAATTAAATCTATTAAATTATAATATAAAATTATACCCTAGGATGAATAGATGATACTGGTTCCAAAAGTACTGTAAACAGACCCTTATGGTTTTCTACCCATTCAATACCTGGTAGTGGTACATCAGGTGTTATATAAGAATAATTTGCAGGTGGTGGTGGTTCCAATGCAACAGGTAAACATAACTCCCCAGAACTTAAACATCTGTCTTTCAATAGAGGTAACCACTAAATTAAAAAAAAACAATACAAAAAAAAAAAATATAAATATTTCACAATTAAATAATAATATTAGGATAAATATTAGAAGTGAATAATTACTGTATATCCAATAGGTGTTTCAGGTGCAACTTGTGGTCGATGTTGATGATTTTCTTGACCACCAACAAGAGTTCCACGACGACGGCAACTCACATGATAAAATGTAAATAATAAATGATGCCGGTCATCCAGGTCGGCAGGTAGCTTGATTTTTATTTCATCATAAAATGAAGGACAACGTTGATGATAACTAACTGTAGTGTAAGCTTCACAAACAAAACGAGGACTTGAAGATTTTCCAAATATAGCAAATGCAGCATCTTGAGGTTGTCGTTCGCCACACATGAGTTGAATTTTAACCGCTATATTTCTTGCAGAACCTAAAATTCATTAATTTTTGTTTAAAAAAAATATATATATATATATATATATATATTTAAAATAATTATAAACATAAAATATCATAGTATAATACCTGTTCTTCCTGCAAAGTTTAACTCTTTAGGATAAACATATAACAGATTACGGTAAATATAATGGGGACTTGAAACACGACAGCTTGCTAATGGAAACTCCAATATTTCCCTAATAGGTCGAATTTTATCTTCAGCTAAAATAATAACAGATTATTTAAAAATATTTGAATCATTCATGAGTAATAAGAAAAGAATCTTACAGGCTATATCATAAGACAATAGTGGTATTAAGTCTGGGGTTAAACATTGTTTAACATCATCTGTTGGGCAAGGTGATATATCTAATTTCAATAAACCATTAAGATTTTTTAACTTTTTTGATGGGCAACTTGATGGTTTTTTTAGTTCTGGTAATAATTTATACAAATCATCATCTTTAAGTTTATCAGTTTCCTAAAAATGTCAATAAAATATTCATTTTTATGAGCCGACTGATATTATGTATTCAAGTTATTTAAAAATGATATACTTGTTTAAAAAATCCATTAACAGTTAAAGTAACTGGACGAAATGCTTCAGTATTAAATTCATCAGATGACCAACTGTATCTATTATCATTAGTAGCTGCACTACTATAACCACTGGTACTAGCAGTTGTTGAATAGTTAGTCCTACGATCTAGAGATCCTCGGCGTACAGTTGTATTAGAATCTGCACTACTTCCTCCAGCTGCAGCCCATTTTTTACGAAAACGATCAAACTCACTGAGTCCAAATCTTCCATCTAAACATAGTTTTTTTATAAATATAAATTATTTACATATGATATTAATAATAATAAAGTATATAATTTACCTAAGCTATTTGATCCACTCCCAGTACTATTACGATCAAGGCTATCAGAACCACCAGGACAGCAAAAAACATCTGCCATATGCACAGCAGTCCAAGCATAAGGCATGCGATACTTAACATGTTGGTATTGAGTAGATTTACCACTCGATTTTACATCAGTCTAAATCATTAAAATATAATACATATATAAATTTAGCTTCTCTTCTTCTTCGCCTTTCTCCCAACTATTTTGGGTCAGCCACCTTTGTCCTTAACCTCCACTCGTCTCCATTTTCTAGATTCTTGACACACACACCATCAACCCTCATATCATTTTCAATTGTATCCAACCATCTGTTTTTTTTTTATCCTCTTCTACCTCCCTCTTTTCCCTTCAATGTTCATTTTTATAACTGCATTTGTTTCTTCTCATCTTATCACATGCCCAAACCATCCAGTCTATTTTTTCTCATATTGTCCACTATAGACGCTACACCAAAACTACCTCTCATATATTTGTTCCTTATTCTATCTTCTCTTGTCAATCAACTCATCCATCTAAGCCTTCTAATTTCTACAACACTCATATTCTGTTCTATTCTTCTTTCAACTCCCCAATACTCTAAACTATATAGCATAGTTGGTCACTACACTCCTGTAAAATTTACCTTTTAGCCTCATTGAAATTCTCTTATTGCATAAAACGCCTGATGTTTTTCTCCATTTTGTCCAACCACACTTAATCCTATGTTTTACATCCATGCCAAAACCATCATCATTTTGTACTAAATATTTAAAGTTCTCGAATTCATCTATTACATCATCACTTATTGTCATTGGTCTCCTCATACCCTCAACTTCTTGGTATCTTTCTCCTAAGTCATACTCTATATACTCTTTTGTGCATTTAGCTATTAATTGTTTTATTAATTAAAATCATCAACTTACATTATTTGAAGAAAATGTTGATGTATCTGTAGAAGATATAACAGAATCTGAATCACCACGTAATGGTTTCTCTAGTCTAATGACAAGAAATAAATCATCTCCTGTAGAGGATCCTGTGCCATCTATATCAATTACACAAGTACGACTACGTGTAGTTGTATCAATTTCATTTCCAGCTGAGGTACATGAATTAAAGTCAAAATAAAAATTTTCAGACATTTTTTTACGGCGTCGAACATCATACAATGATATATGTGCATATATAGGTTCAGTATCTGTGTCTATAGAACATCTATTTTTAATAAAAAAAAAATAGACATTAGAAAAGCAAATTAAAAATTTTTTTAGTGATTGGTATAAATTACTCTAGTTGTAGACATTTTACTAGAATCCGACGACTAGAAACAATCTCGCGTGGTACAGGTGGTTTATTTGGGTGTTCAATATGACTGTTATATTTTTGCCTTGTTTTAACAACAGGTAAATAGGTTCCAAATAAACGATTCTAAAGTAGTAAAAATATTTATAATTATAATGTTTTTGTTTTAACTATATTATTTTAATTATTTTATAATATAAATAAAAATATAAATACTTGTCTATTTTCTTGTCTTGCCACAGCATTTAATCTATCAAGTGTATCAATAGGTAATCTTTGAAATACAGTTCCAATTAATGGATCATTAGCTGTGTTAATCAAATCAGTAGCTGATGATGAACTACTGATATTGTTTGATGTCAATGAATTTTCAGTACTTGAATTATTGCTTGGGCTATTTGAATTTTTACCTCCATGTTTTATTGAATCTTTATATGGCTGTAATATCAAGTAAAACAATTCGTTATTTACATTAATTTAATAAATAAATAAATCATTGTTTTATTTTACATGATTGTGGTGATCATTTTTATAAAGTAAGCGTGGTTGAGTACGTTGCAATGCAGAATTTGTAGAAGTCCTACTGTGAGAACTGCTTCGAGAAGAAGGTATCCAAGAATCTTCATAGGCTAATAAACTAGACCTATCATCTTCAACAGTATTTATTTGTCTATAAACATAATCAACAACAAGCCAATCTCGGTTGTAGGCTCGAACGAAATCATGTACATGAGGTGCTAGTTTAGAGCTAAATTAAAAGAAGAAATTAAATTAAAAAAAAAAGAAACAAACTATAATGAGTAAGTTACTACATAAAATTATCTGAATACACATACATGTCTTCTTCCGGGCCAGTGGGTATAAGTGTGCGCACTTTACGAGGCAAAACATAAACGTCCACATCGTCTGAGCCGTCAGGAAATTCCAATAGAGGGTCATCGTTTTCGATACTTTTAGTGTCACTACAAATATGATGCTGCAGGTAATTTTCATAGTCCACAGGCTCCACAATAGTAGGTGCGATATTGTTTATTCTGACAAAATTGTTCGGTTCACTGTGGGCCGTAACAGTATTACTACTGTTATTAGATGCTGAATCATCAGAACTTTTTGACGTTGAAGTGACACTAAAAGCGAACAAAACATATGAATCAATGGTGAAAAATAATAACGATTACCCTTTAGATTTTAATTATTACAACTCGACACTACGTACTTGCTGTTGGTAAGTTTTTGAGCGAACGCTCGTTGCATTTGAGATACCATAAATCAATGTACGTATTAATAAAAACACTTAGAACTCAAATCAGCGGTGCATTGTCAATAGTAATAACTATACTGCGAATAGAAAACCAGCAGTAGCATAGTTGATTATTATTCGTAGACGCGCAGTATACAAATCACTTTTTCCAAACATTACCAGAAAGAAACAAAAATGCTATGTCGGCCAACAGTACGCTTTCGGATTACAATTATAATGTTCGATAATCAAAATTACAAACATCGACTGTTTACGCGTAATTACTCATTTTATTATAATTATATATAATAATAGATGTTTAAATAATGATTAATATCATTACTAATGCGAATATTAGTTCATGAAAATAATAATAATAACAATTGATAAAACATTTTGATACCAGCCATTGTTAACAGACAGATTCTACAAATTAGTTGTTCGGACAGATAACGATTTACAAATTACCACAGATACATATATACAATATTAATAATATTATAATTTATTATTACAGTGACACAGTGGCGTATTTAGAAATAAAATTTAGAAAATGGGGGGGGGTCATACCTAGTAGTGAAATAATTTTATAAATTAGTATAAAATGTTCTTTATCTACTTATTGTTTAAATACTAAATAATAATAATAATAATAATTATTAACTATATCAAACGTATAATCGTATTAATCGTATTTTAAATTACTTTACATTACGCATAAATGCATAGTGCATACTAGCAACAGACAAGACGTGACAGTCACGGACTAAGATATTGATATTCTTATCGATCGATAATTTATCCATATCAGATTATTTATATACCGTGTGTGTGTGAGTGCCGTGCGGTCGATTGTTTTTATTATTATCCGATTACAATTTAATTATTAGCGATATTAATTTTTTTTTTATATATATATAATATGTATTTTTCATTATACTTTAAAACTTTATTTAATAAACTAAAATTATTATATTACTGATATGTTTAAAATTTGAAGTTTTAAAATATTTTTTGGAGGGGAAACCCACTGCACCCGCCCCATAAATACGCCACTGTATTATTATATATATGTATGCAAATTACGACCATCTTATCAACTGTCTTCGATTTAAAGGACTTTGGTCTGGGCTATGCATTTGCAATATTTGTATGTACCTATTTCGTCATTGAGCAAATGTTTTTTTATATATATATTACGGGAAATGATACGTTTAGGAAATGATATTTTAATTGACTTTTGACGATATTTCATAACAATGAATACATAATTTTGATTTCGACTGTAAACTCCAATGTTCTGTAATCTATGCCGATAAAAGGTCCACGTAGATACCGACTGTTAATATTTATTGGTACAGAATTTCCGTACAGTTATCGCTTGTAGCATTTATTCTGTTTTATTAAGTGTTATTATCACCAACACAGTTCGTTTAGTATTGTGTAATTATTAGTAAGTACAGTGCGTTTGATATTTATTTTTTAAGAAAAATATAATATACAATAAAAATGGATTTAAGTGAAATGAGAAAACAATTTAATGACACAATTTCATTCATTACTGGTGAAAAACGTCATGACAATAAATCATTCATGAATAATGAAGAATATGATCATCACATGGAAGATGTAAAATTATCCAAAATTTAAACAAATAGGAGAGAGATTATTGAAACATTCATAAATACGATGTTATATTAATCAACGACAAAGAGCGCTCAATTAAAACGATAACTCATGATAATGATAGTATACGTTATCTATTACGTTAAAAATTATTCCACTTTTCTTCATAGCGATCGGTCATAGTGGGTGCGATTGTATAATAACTGAAATCAAATTAAAGATCAAATTATACTTTATAAACAAACAAAAAAGAATATACATACACCAATTAAGCTTATATAATTAATTTTATATTTTAAATTTAAATGATAAGTTAAGACATTTTAATGACATGTTGAAAGAAGCTTACTTTTTTATGACAATAAATTAATTATTTGACCATTATCAATATTTATCAAAATTTCTTTTTCAACTGACATTAACATAAACGTTTCAGTATTTTCATTAATAAGTTTACTTCTCAACATATTTATTAAATACTTTAAAGTAGAAAAAAATCGTTCACAGGCAACTTGGGTAACAGGAAGACACAATAAATACTTATAAGCAACTGTTAAGACTTGATGTGCGTTACTATATAAATTGTGCCTATTTTATCAATACTTTTAAGAACACAGTGTACAGTTTCTAAAACTATTACACATAACTTGACTTGATTTCTCAGCAACCCCGGCCCCTCATTTGTGTAAACGAAACATGCACAATAATAATAATGCTTTTTTGTATCCCAAAATACCTATATTAACCATCCAGCAGGCGCGCCATTGTAAATAATACGACCATTTTATTTATATTTATTTATTCAACTTATATTCTATTTTTATTTTATCGGCGGTCATGGGTATTCCTCTGAAATGTTATTTACTATGTTTTAGACACTTTTGAAGTGCAAAAACTTCTTTTAAAAACTAATTAATTATTTAAAAAAAAAGTGATACGGCCACGGCCGTCAGGCCAATGAAAAATCCCAATAAATAGGTCAGGCCACCGGGAACGTCCCGGTATTCCGGTGGGCCAGGCCGTCCCTGAATAGTTGTGAAATTTAGCTTGTATTGATGAATATACAGTGTGTCTAAAATATTACTGCAAAAATGTAGGTTAAGCAATAATCAAATAACTAAAACGCCATAAATCGTACTTAGTAAAATTAGTGAGTACCTAGTAGGTAATAACTCCATAAAATCGCTATACTAAGCACTAATGCTGTAAGTAATGTTAAGGCTGTTGGAGCATGCCGTATTTTGTATGCCTTTAGACTAAAAAGAGAAAGATTAATTTTAGTACTTTTCGATTTCTGATTTCAATTTTGAATAAAAGTATGAATTCACCATCCTTTTTTCTAGGTTATGTAGGGAAAACATTTTTGATTTTTTTATTCAATGAGGCTTAAAGAATACTGTTAACTTCTTAAAAACCATATAACTATTTTTAATACAGTAGTTTTAAACTCTATTTAACATAGCTCTATTTTCAAAATTTTAAATCGGGTTATTGGAAGTAAATGAATAAATATTTTTCTTTTAGCTCGGTAATTACTATAAGATCTTTATGCTTCTCAGGCCCGTACTTAGGGAGGACAAGGGTAGGCACATGCCCGAGGGCGTCAAGTCTCAGGGGCGGCAAAATATTTTAGCAAAATTAATTTTAAAAATTATGTACCTAATGAAAAATATAAATAAAACGATAAAAAAAGGAAAAAGTATGTTTTATTATCTTATAATTTGTAAATAAAATTGTTTTTATTATATTATAATTTGTTTAATTTGTTAATTAAAAAAATTATTAAGTAATTTTAATTTATAAATTATATTTTAATATTAAAGAATTTCGATTATGGACGAAATAATAAGTGATATATTATTATTATTTATTTTTTTTTTTGAGGGGGCATAAATTATATGCCCAGGGGTGCCAAATTTTTAAATACGGGCCTGATGCTTCTGCTACAGCAGGGGTGTATTTTAGGGGAGCGAAGGGGGCGATCGCCCGTCCCAGAATCCGTATTTAAAGAATCGATCATATATGAAATAAACATTTCAAATTTTTTAAACGTGGATCATTTTATAACGATACTTAGTGTCCATACTAGAGCACCAAAACGTTTATATACCGTTATAACTTAAAGTATAACGTTAAATTATTCAATAAGCGATTGAAATTGATAACTGATAACGAAACAGAAACAAAAAAGGATTAAAATTAATATCGAATAACATAACAGAAAACGATTAACGATTGAAACATAAAAGAAATTGCCTTGGAAAAATATTTATAACTATCAGTAAAATATATTTGGAACATAGTTATTTTTGTAAAATTGACTTAAATTACTAGGTAATCTAAATAAAATAAATATAAAAAGAATGTTTAAAACAGTAATAAATTTAACAACTAATAATAAATAAATAAGCATTACCAATTATAATTTATAAATATGCTTTCTGAAAATACATCGGATATTGTCGGCGCGGAACCCGTATAATTTCGGTGAACACCGATGAAATATTAGTTAGGTACACCATTCACAAGTTATTTTATTAAATTCACAATAAATACATATTTTACGTGGCATGTACATTTTATTATTGTTATAAAACAAATATGATTGCTTTATTTATAAGTTATGAGTTATGATAATTACAAAAAGAAAATATCGTTAAAGTTAGGGGTGTGTTGGTACGTATACGCGGGTATACGGTGTATTCACATCAGCAGATTTTCGATTTTCGGCGTAGGTAATCGATGAATACTGATCAATTAAACTTAAATTACGTGCTGACTAGACGATTGGTAACTGGGAAAAGAAGTTCTTGGTGACTTGGGCGGCATCACACGCACCACGCCGGGTGCTGGCGGTGTTACGCGTTGATGACACTAACCTCCCCCCCTAGAAGTAAGTCTATAGACGCCCCTGAAATGGCGAGTACAGAAACAAAAAACTAATATATGAATAATGATAATGTGTTGATGACCACACGAACAACGATTGACTACAGAAAAAAGATACATGGCACACAAAAACTGCCGAAGAACAAAAATAAAGAAAAAATATTATAAGCTTACGTAATTTGGTTACAATATTATAACACTTGTTTTTTTGGTTGATCATACACAGTGCTCTCTAAGAACATAATTCGTTTCGTGTAACGAGGGTATCAATTCTACAAATTTTATTTTGCATTTTTTTTTTTACATATTTCGACGTTTTTTCATTTTTAAAACATTTTTAGTATTATTGGGTCATTTTGTTGGTTTTTAATGCATATTTGTTCGACATACTAATCAAATTTAACCTATTCAAAATAAAATCAAAAGACAAATTATATTCTTGATATTTAAGTAGGTTTATCAGGTTTTTCCATACACATTGTCAAACTTTATTTTTCGATTCAGTTTTTATCTTATTTATTTAAAGACTATGGAACGTCACCAGTATTCGGTTAAATACAAATAATCAGTCAGTTCGTATTACATCGCAGATGTTGCTTGGATTACGTGTGAATGTGATTTTAATGTATTAAATAGTGTGTTAAATAATGCCTAAAATAAAAAAAAATGTATGTCATTTTTGTGGTAAAATGCATTTTTTAAAGACAATTTTGGCTATTTTTTAGAGCATATTCGTATGGATTTAAGGGCATTTTCATCCAGACCATATCTTTGATTTATGTCATAAAACAAATGTTGTACTAACTTAGCATATCATACGACCAACCAGAATATGCAAATGCATAAAAATCCACGCTCTACTAAAGACTACAACCAATTGATAATTAACCTATTACCTGAAAAATGTAAACATTTTTAACATGTTTATAAATTTGTATAAATATGAGTACATTAATGAAAAGATATTATGTTAATCACATTTCATATAATTCATAATGGTAGTAATAAACTTGTATGTTACTGGCAATTTGGATGATTTAGGTGTTTTGCTAAATGCCTAGGCATTATGCAAATTGCCAACCCATCTTAGGCAATGTAAATAAAACATATAATTTTTAATATTATTTTACATATAACCTAGATATTATGCAAAATGTCAATTTTTTTTTAGGCAAAGTACAGAACATTTTATTATATATTATACTACATTAAGATTCTTATAATTATTATACATTATTACTCATATAACAAACAATATTCAATTATTATCTATTATTATATTATTACTTTTATATAAATATTTTATTTAAACTACTGTTTACTTATAACATGTTGTAGAAAAGTGACATTTTGAAGCACACAACATTTTATTTTTAAGCCAAATACACTTTTTATTTTGACACTTGGACTTACAAACACAATTTAAAAATCTTTGGCCGATTCTTGTGAATTTAATTTTTATCAACTCATTATATTGTTCATCAGATAAAAAACTAGTATTAGTTGCCATATTTTTAAAAAAATTTGACTTCATATAAATCGTATACATAGTTGCAACACTATAACGAGATGCGAAAATGACAATATTGTACCTCAGATTTATTATTATAGTAGTAAAAGAATCTTAATCTACGTTGTGTTAAATCGTGCACGCACATTTATGATAAATGGTAAGAAAAGTCGTTGGTAATAGGTAATGTCCAATTATGTTTATTTTCATCATATTGCCTGCTCCATGTTTGGCATTTTGCAAAATACCGGATTATCTATGTTGCTGGTAACGTATATATTTATTTTTGATTTTTCTACCAATATTTGATTATAAATGTATGACTAAATGGAATTTTACATCTAAAACACACATAAGTAATAAGTATAATACAATTCAATTAAAACTGAATTATATTGTAAAATAAAATAAATAATCCTTGAAGCTATAAAAATACCTTAAAAAAAAAAAAAAAAAAAAATAGTTAAATCTAAAGATTATTTAAGGATTTATTTACAAAAGTCACTCAAATAAAATAATATTATAATTTTATTTACCCTATATAAAATAATTTAAAATTCGTTTTATTCACCACACAGGCTAAAAACAGTACATTACAATACAAATTACGATTATACAATAATTGATGATTAACTTGTTTTGATTAATCCTCTACGTCAATGGGAAGAGAAGTATCATGGCACCAAATTTTTATTTTTGCCATAATATACACATATAAAAAATTATTAAAAATCAATTTGTTAACATATAACCAATAAAACATTAATGATAAGTACAAATTATAAAAATATAAATAAAAAAAAAACCATCTCCTTACAAATGTATATATATATATAAATACACAAATTATTTTCAAACAATTTAATTTAATTAAAAAATAAGAGTTAAATGAACAGGAATGATTATACTAAGAAATGAATAAAAAATATTAAAAAGGCCAAATAGCAATAATAATTGTTTACACATAGGAACCCAGACAGTCTTTTTTAGATTATTTTAAAAAAATTTCACATCATAATATTATATATTTAAACAATAATGCACAAAGAGGATGGTGTTTATCGACAGTAAATACAATCATTATTAGACTAGGTTATTTGTAAATTATCTATACATGTATACAATTTAATTGGGCAGATATTTGGCTAATGATAAATAATTATGTTTATACTTAAAGAATAATTTTTTTTACAGTTAAACCTAATAATAATATTGACTTTAAATTAAAATTTCACCTATACAAAAATGTTAAATAAAAGAAATTAATAATGAACAATAAATTCTAATATTTACTATAAATCAGCCAAATGTACAGTATTTTCTTTTTGATCTTGCTGATTTTCAATCACAGTATTGTGATTTAAACCTCCAACACCTGGACAATGTTGTTCAAATGGCTGGGAACCAACAAAACAGCAATCTTCTTCAACAACAACACCACCAGCATTTCTACCATTATTTGCTGAATGGTATCTTTTAGGTCTACCGACATCCCATGTAACTGTAGTTGGAGCAATTTGTTGCTGCTGTTGTAGTCTTTTTCTTTTTACAGTAGTTCTAGTAGTTTTACCAACTACTGTCATTGATGATGACAGTGATTCTAAACAAGATGATAAATTATAAGCAACTGCCGATTTTTTAGTTTTATTTCGATTAGATGAAGCTGAAGAACTGTTGCTGGAAGACGGCAATAATTTCATTCGATTATTACGAGTTGAAATTACACATTTCAGTTTACCTGTACTTGTTTGAGACAGGACATTTTCTTTTTGCTGTTCGGGTGACATAGACGTTTGATTTTGATGATGACGTTGTAATTTCCATCGTTGACGCCGACCCACACTTCCTCTAGGCCTTCCACAACTTCGTTTTACAACTGTATTGGGCTCAACAGTAGATTCAGGTACTGGTGCTATCGTTTTATTTTCCAAAAGCAAACGCTTCCGTCGTTGTTTCTTAGCAGTCAATTTTTTTTCTTTAATTTCTGTAGTGGTATTACTAGTATTACTACTAGCTGTTGTACCATTACTACTCACGCTAGTCTTACGACGTCGGTATGTGGTAGTCTTATTTTTTTTAAGTGGACCAGGACGTCGACCTCGGCGTCGTTTAGGTAAGACTACTTTATCTTTTACCTTTTCTTTAGCTGCCAGTTGCAGCTGTTCTAATTTTATTCGTTGTCGTCTAAGTCTCTGTGCTCGTGCTGCTGCTGCTCTTCGACGTTTCAACATTTCTTCATTTCTTTCAACATCACTATCAACATTTAATGTGTCGATGGTTGTGGATATTGATGAAGCAGAAGCTATAATTTTCCGACGTTTTTCTTTTGGCCAACCAGTCATGTTTGGTCGTTTTTTCTTACGTTTATTTGTAGCTGATATCATGTCTGTTCCGAAATCAGAAAATACACTATCACCATAATAATTATTTGTTAAACGCTCAGCTAAAGCCAGTTCACGTTGTTGATGGTACATTTGCAAAGTTTCATCAGTTAAATTAGTACGGAGAAACCTTTTATCTGCAGTTTGTTCGTACATAATTTGTAAACACATATTATCAGGTTCGCGATCATTTTCAACTTCTATAGAAGACCAAATTTTATCTTGATTGTTTTCAAGTGGTAAAATTGGAAAATCGTGTTCAATTTCATTATGCAGAAGTAAATTTTCCTCAGCTAAATTACGGCGATTCAGTTCAGCTATTTCTTGTACTCTGTGCAATTGTTGACATACGAATGCAGCGCGTAATCTCTCGTCCCGTGCTCGCCTTCTAACTACATCTACATGTTTTGTACGTAGTTTCACCATTTCTTGATCAACTACAGAATCATTTATAGAATTATTTTGTGGAACCGGTTGTTGAGCGCATAATTTAGGAGGCGGTGGAGTAATCGAACGACGCCGACGACGACGCCGTTTTATGATATCGTGTTGATGATCTAATTGACGACGTCTATAATGACGGAATCCAGACTTATGTTCAGGCTTTGGTACAGCCATTTTCAAAATACATGGCCCATCCATATCTATAGAATTTTTATTAGACTCTTCTATATCTAAGTCTATTTTTTGACCCGTTTGTTGGGCTATTAGTTTATCATTACAACTTATTCTCTTGCCAGACAAAATTGCTGCCAATGTAGATGCATGTTGTCGAGGTGATTTCCGGGGACTATTTGATTTAAGCACAGACTGAAAAAGTTTATTTTTTTTCCCCGGAGGTCTACCTGGTCGTTTTACAATAACAGGGGGTGTTGAAGGATATTTCAAACCACTTGACACTTCAATAGAGGGTTGAATACATTTGCTAGCAGTTCCACGTCTTTGTACAATTGATGTTTGATGTTTATTAATTGATGATATACTTTTCAGTGGTGGTGGAAGAGAACTGTTAATTTTAGTAGTTGATCCTTCACTACATAATAATCGAATTTTACGTAATGAATCTTTGGATGCTTTTTTTTGAACATGACCTGTAAGTGCTGCTGCTGAATACTCCCAATTTGTTGGCCAATATGTGCAACCATAAAAAAAAGAATATGGTGTCCTCTTATCAGTAAATTGTTGATATCGATCACCAATGTTACAGCTAGCTAAGAAGCCATAATGAACTTCATCCTTTGAAGTGGTTAATAATGAAGACTTCTCTGTTGAATTACCTTCAGTCACTAATGAATCATTGTGATTATTGGAGACTAATAAACGCTTTTTACATACTACATCTGTGACATTAGATTGTTTTCTTTTACGGGCATTACATTTCTTTTTACAAGCATCATCTAAAATAGCACATTCTTCATTTTTATTAATATCTGGTATCAAAATTGAATGTTTGTCTGATTCAGAAATCTTTGAATCAATATTTTTATCACTATTTTCTTGATCATGATTGTAATCATGAATACCATTACATTGATTTAATTTAATTTGCTGCGATTGCAAAAGTTCTAAATTACAAGCAAGTGATTCAACTTTTTTACTAGTGTTTTGTAATAATAATTTTCTGTTAGCTGTATGGTTTAGTATTTTTTGCCGTGGTGGTCGACCACGAGGTCTAGGGCCAGGAATGGGTGAATTGGAACTAACTGACTGCACTGAAGTTGCGGTAGAAATAGTTGATTGATGCAATGCAGAAGGTATCGAAGTAGATGATATCGTTCTTGTACGTAAGCTAAGTCCTGAAGAATCATGTTGAATTTTGTTAAAATTTATCTGTTTATCAAGCTCTTCTATTGTAATAATATGTTCCTGGTTATTAAATGAAACTTCTTTATTTTTTTTGTCTATCACCTAATTAAAAAAAAAAAAAAATAAATTATGTATCTGTAAGTATTAAATAGCTGTAATAATATATCAATGGTGATAAAGCAAAAAGAACTAAGCGATATTTTCAAGGTTTTCAGAAAAGGTAAAAAAGTTTTTTTATTGGTTTTACTATCAAATAGTCATAACTTCTTTATATGTATTTTACAAAATTTTGATAAGAGATTTTTTTCTAGTACAATGTTATATTGAAAACCAAATCATTTTCCATAGGTTTAGATTATAATTTAAGTAATAATAACCCCCAAAAACTTTGTTTAGATCTCATATTTATAATTCTAAACAGAAGTATTGTATATATCCAAAATTTTCAAATTAAAAATCTCTTTGTACAGTAATCACAAAATAGTAAGACTTTGACTGACAGATGGAGCTTGTATTCCACTATACAGCCATATAAATGTTGTCGCTTAGTCTCTTTTGCCTTGTCACTATTGATATATTTATAATATAAAGGTTATCTAAAAAATATAACCTATAATTACGAGTATAAAATTAAATTAAGATCTTGTAAATAATATTATTAAAGAAAAATGTGATAATCACTATAGAAATAATTGCTGCTTTCTTTTTAAATCAAGTTATCAAACTTTTTTCCAAATAAGCTGATTAAACAAAAAAATGTTGCATTATGAAAAACTATTAGCTTTCTAATTAAAATGAGTTAAAATTTAAAATTAATGAAGTATTGGAAGAACAATAAAACAAAAATTCTGGACTGGATTATTTAGGTGACATTTTTTACAGGTTTTAATACATTGTAAAATTAATGTATCGATTATTATTTCATTCAAAATTGGTCAATTACAATAACCTAACCTTGTACACAACATAAAAAACTCATTAGTTGTTCTTAACAATCTTAACCAGTCATCAGTGTTATCTTCTAAAATCATACAAAAATGTCATCGGTTTTTTTTGACCCAACTTTACAAAATAATAAATAGTTGAAATAAACAACCTTTTTAAATTAATATTTGTTTTAAGTTAGTACGATATTTTTATAATACTATAGAACTGAATTTAACATAAATTTAATATTTTTGCATTTCATTTTTACATTTTATAAGAATCTAGATATAGTCTATTTAGAATAAGAAACACAGTTAGCGGCGACCAATTTTCGTCGGTGGCAGTCAGGCAACGCCTATTGTTACCCCCACTTAATCAAATATCTATTCATTTGTTGAACTGACAATGATGGACTCGCCGTACCAATGTACGCAATGTATGTGATCAAAATAGTGTACAACAGTGTATTTTAAGTTATTGTTTCACAATGCTGGTCAACAACAGATTAATGTGATGCTCAGGCTGGCGGCGTTGGTCTAGTATCGTGTTTTCAATGAAATCACACCCATGAGCAGAAGTCGGCCGCCGATTGTGTTTTTTATTTTGAATAGACTATAGATAAATATGTTTTTGAAAATAATTATGACAAATAATACTTATCTACATAATATGTATTCTATTTGACTATGGGTACAACCAAGTAGTATATAAATAAAATATTAATAACATTCAATAAACAAAAAAATTAATAAAAATACAATCAAAATAATATGTAAATGAAGGGTGACATACATTATTTTGACCAATAGGTTAATAATTAACAGAATTATTCTCCTTCTACTTAATACAATTTGAACAAAACATTAATTATTCTATATCGATAAGTGGAAAGGTAATGATGAAAAAAGATTAAGTAGTTCCAAACACACATTATTTAAAATATTAGAAACTTAATGGTCTAAAAGACCGAAGCCACTGATGACAGGTTAAATTAAATAATGAAGTTTTTGAATTATTTGGTCATATAATATTAATAAAAAAAATGTTTTTAGTTCAACAAGGAACAAAAAAAAAAATTGATTTTAAATAAAATAATAATTACCTCTAATACAGGAGTTGATGGTGGAGATTTAGAAGATTTAGAAGTCATTACAATATTAATATTAACAGAATCTGTTACATAATTGCCTTTATAATCATTTGGGCAACGAGTCGAAGTTCCAGAACTATCATTAGTAGTATGGCTGTTGCTGTTACTGTTGCTAGCAACTGTCAAGTTGTTCCGTAACTTTGTATGAGATGCAGTACTAACCATGATTTCTCTCATCATTTCATTGAAACAGTTATCAATAACTACAACTAATTCTTTGTTAAAAAGATCATTTGGTTCGAGGTTAGAGCTATCGGTAAATTTTATGCCACCATAATTTTTCAAACGATTTTCTAGTTTTTGTTGCTTAGGTAATATTTCATGAGGTTGTTTGTCATTATGTTGATCGTCATGATGAATACCATTAAGATTATTTTTTAGCACTCTTAGTTTAGACTCTTGTTGATTTTCTAATGATGAACCACTATTATTTCCGTCTAAGTCCCTCTCTGATAATTGTACATTACTCTCTTCATTTTTTTTAAATGTATGAGCATTTTTACTAGAAAAAGAATATCATACACAAAATGAATCAATGACATATATAATAAAATAAAAACAAATTAAGTTTAATACTTACCGCTGCGGGTTAATAACTGCAGACGGGGGCTGATTTTGTTGGATCAACTGGCTTACGTCTTTGGGCGCCAGTCTATGCAATACAACGAGTGGTTCATATGGCATTTGTAATGATTGATGAGAACTTTCGAGTTAAACATGTAGGTATCTGCTTCTCGCCTGAGAACAAAATTTAAAAATTACATCAGAATCATTACATAAGATAATAATTAGGAGTTAACACTCAATATTAAATAGTAGGGGAAACCCATGTGAATTTTCGCGAGAGGTGAAAAATATATAAAACGACTTGCCGAGTGACTAACAACAAATGAGAGGTGAGAAAGCCCGTGATTCCGGAAACATGTTAACCATAAGCGCATAAATGTTTGCATTGAAAATGATGGCCAGTTGTGTGTATAGGATCGACTTACGAGTAGAGTGCCGTTGGCGATGGCTCGGAGCGGGGTCAAGAAACATCATCGAAAAGTAAGCAGTTTCAACGCGCGCGTAACATCATAATCGAAGACGTGTTACGCACTACCAGGACAGCGCGACATCGTTACTGCCGAGGCGGCAGTCGTTTCGGAAAGGCAATAGCGGTGTACACGACACCATAGTCGATGGCCTGTCACGTAACGACCGCGACGACAGCAGAGGAGGCGGCGGTGGTAACGGCAACGACCATAATCGATACGCAACTCAGAGGCGACGCTCCCAACGTCGTCGTAATCGTTTTTCGGAAACAGCTCCGTGCTCGACGGACGGGACGCGGCCGCTGTTTCGCATAATTTATTTTCCTCAAAACCAATATCTTACTCACCTATCAACCACGTCCGTCGTCGTCACCGGTGCAGAACGTCAGTGGACACTGCCGTGGAATCGAATGTTTCCGAACGGCAAGCACATAGAGAGACAACGCAGTAGCAATACAGTGGTCGTCGAGAGAACGGCAACCACGGATGAATATCCACGGACCGTCCGGACGACAAATACGTGCGTATGCGTGAACGCGTATGTGGACTGCGTACGTATGTGCGATAGGCGCGCGCGAGTGTGTGCGTGGTGCGTGTGAACGCGCGCGACGCGGTAGGCAACCGACGCGGGGACGAGTGAGACACGGCGACCGAACGGAAACTTGAACAACGCGAAGCAACGAATGCACGGACGGCGTCGAGGCGGATCTGCCGTCGGACGGCGGACGGCGAAAAATGACAATTGATGGTGTTTACCGTCGATTGACGAAAGTCGGTTGACGCATTCACGACGCACTCGTTAATGGCAACAATAATAACAATAGTAATAGTAATAAATACAACAATAATAACAAATAATACGATCGGTAATGACGGCCGGGAGTAACAACGAATGCGGCGGTGATAGTCGTCGTCGACGAACAGCGGCTGTGACGGCGGCAGCGGTGGGGGAATGAAGTAATACCAAAACAACGGCAACGACCGTCGACGACGAAACGTACGGGGCAGCGGCGGCGGCAACGTTGGTGGGGGACGATCTACGGCGCACGCCAGTGTACACCGAGGGCCGACCGTCGTCGACGGTGTGCATGTGCGTGCGTGCCGGCGCGTGGCCGTCCGTGCGTGCGTGCGTGCGTGCGTGCGTGCCTGTGTGCGTGCCGGCGAGAGGTGCGCGCGGGCGGGTGGCGCGCGCTATGCGTACCCGCGGCGGCGGGGGAGCGGTCGACTCACCGGATTGTTGGCCGCCGCCGTTGCTGGCGCAACCGACGGTCGCCGGGCGCGCGCGCGCACGCACTGGAACGCACACGACCGCGACGCAATCCATATACACGTCGCACGGCGGTGGAACGTTTCTCTCGTCGGGGTACGGAATAGAGACAGACAAAAAAAAAAAAAAAACGTTTTCGACGTACGCAGTTAATACGTTTCTTTTTCCTTTTTTTTTCGTCGTTCACCATCCGGTGAGACCCGCACGCACGTTTTCTAAACCCGTTCATTATTTCCGACGTTTTTTCCAAAAAATCGAACCGATTTATTCGTCGCGAGTGTGCACCGTTCACATAAATCATTTGAATATTTTACTGGGCCTGATTCACATTTTCATTACTATTCGGTTTTAATTCGAAAAGTTACTCGTTTCCAATAAAATGCTAACAACTACTATGCCCAGAAATGTTTTTAATACGTACTCGAAAGTTAATGCATCGTGCACGTTTATAACAGTCCTATTTTTAATGTATCTATGATGGAAAATTAAAGAATTATATAGTATTATAAATATTGTGAAATTCCAGAACAATCCATGAATTCCTCGTATCGGAAAAATAATAGCGTGTATTTTATGAGCCACAATAAAACGTAAGCAAGGCTTTAATTACAAACGAAATGTTGGTATTAAAATAATATTTTTATCATATTTTTCCTGCAACAATGTCCGATTTCCCTGCGCAACGATCCAATGTGCGCCGCCGCTGTAATGTCCGTATATGGTATATATATATATATATATATATATATATTTAAACACATGTATACGTTATACGCGTGTACGCTATAATACTATTACGTGACGATATAACGATTTATTATGACGAACTGCATGCATGTGTGCGCGTGCGAGAGAGAGACGCGCTGCAGCGAATAATGTCCGAGTATATAATATTAAATGTGTCAGTGGACGATATCGCTGTGGTCGGAGGTCGGTTTTCTAACTAATAAAACCCGCGTCAAACATACTATATTGTTCTATCTCCTGTCGAGTTGGTTCTTCATAGAAAAACGTTCCTTTATACGACATTGGTGCGTCTAATATTGTACGTTTCACAGAACACAACTCCAGGACGTTTAAGTTCATTAGAGTACATAAAGATTCAGCTTCAGAAGGTTAATATTTATTGATTATAATTTTAATTTTACTTTTGAACTTATTTCTCCTATACTACGCACCACCGTGCACCAAACCGTTGTTTTGGAAAAATAAAGTTTTACAGTTTAACAACTTGTTCAATAAAATTTAGTACATTACAGCCAAAATTTATATTTATTATGTCATTAGTATGTTCTGACTGGTATTTGTTTCGTTTATTGAGGTAATAAAAGGAAATCTGTACAAATAATACAATTTGAAATTATCTAAGTACGTAAAATACGTATAAACGCTTTAACTCAAATTTCAACGTTTTATACGATTCAGAGTTGTTTGATTTCAATTCATATTAGAGTTGGTATGATTTGACATCAAAACATACAGGTAAATTTAACGATATTTGCATTTAAAAAAGGAGTGTCGAAGAAAAGACTGTCCCTGCAGGGGGTGTCAGAGTTCTTTGAGACATACAGTCTCGAGTACGATATGTGTATAATGTGTTAAAATAAAATATTCCACGTAACGATTCGACATATAAATGCAATCTACGTGAATCTACGGGGGGTAATCCCAACCACTACGGGTCGAGTAAAAGTATTTTTTGAAGAAGGACAAATCTGATCTTGACTTACAGTTGCCTACTAAATTCAGTAAAAATAAGAATAAATTACATCTTGGTAGGTGAAACTAGAAATGGAGTAGAATAATAATTGACCAATGGACTTAAGACACAATGTCAACCCTGTTTATTTATTTTTTAAATATTTTTTACTACAAATCACAGTACTTCAGGACATTATAATGTATTCAGATTTTTGGTTTAACACAAGTTTCTCGTTAAAATGGGCTCATATAAATCAAGTTAAACTAAAGTAAAATTATTATAAATAATATCCATAACAATTTCATAAACTATAGTTTGTGAATGAATAAATAATTGAATTTTGCGTTACGAATAAATAATAAAATGATTTCATTTTGTTTTGTTTATAAAATGTATAGAGTTTTGTAGAATGATATACAATATTACGTTTAAAATAGTCTGTTGTTAATTTGTTATTGTTATAATTTACACGATATAAAAAGTGTTGATGAGATTAAGTGCACTTATTAAGTGTACTTCTATTGTTAGAGGTCTCGGAATTTGCATTTGTATGCTTTAAACCTTGTAATTATTTTATAAATTCGAATAACTAAATAAATATTTACGTTAACTATATGTTTTGAATAAAATAATTGTATACATTTTTACTAAATAAATAAATCTATACGATTAAAATATTTATTACTTATAACATTTAGGTAATGAGTATTAATTTTCTAGAACTTAGCAATACACATTATACCTTATGTCCTGAACTCAAAACATAAACAGGTATGTTAAAAGTAATTAAACCCTTTTAGTACGGATTTATACTTAATATAATAGTTTTTAATAAACTACTACCATATGTGCTTCTTAATCCCTAGACAAAAAATATAAATGTTTCTTATAATCAGTATATTGTATAATACATAAATAAATATACAATCAGTACATTCTCTCAAATCAATGACTTTAACATAATACTTAATAATAGATGAAAACTTAATAATTACGATCGAATATAATAAATAAGGTACAATTATATAAATATAATTCCATTGATTGTTACTATGATTCTAAGAATAAAATTTTGTTTTTAATGTTTCTGTTGTTGGTTTATATATTAAATTTTAATAATTTTATTGCATCATGCTTAGTACGTTGAAGTATTAAAATTTTAATGTAATAATACTTTGAATATTAATTTTTTATTTATTGTGAGTTTTCAGTTTTATTGGTAACTGTAAACTAACAAGTCAAAAACAAGATTATGAATTAATAGTTTCTGAATAATTTCATATGACAACATTTCTCTTAGGTTGGATTTTTTTTATCATACACAATTTTTGAAAGCATATTTCACGACTTTTCGATACATTAAAACCACAGCCCTTTAAGCAATAGTTATGGAGAAAAGTTATTATTTTTGTTTCTACATTTTTTAATAATAAAACCATTAATGGTGGGTTTATACTTTGATACTCAATAATTGTTTGCATTATTTCATTAGCATATTTTCTCGTCGTGTTTTATTATAAAATAACTAACATACTTGTGTTCGTTTCAATATACCTATAACGTAAATTATTTGCTGAGTACGACATTGGGAAAACGAACGATCAGCGGTTATTTTCTTTTTTCTATTGTCAATTATTGTAACAACGTGCCTAAAAGCAGCGCTCGAGAAAATAATAATAATAATATTATAGTTCGTGGTAAAGCGAAATGTTACTTGGTCGAGGCGATTATTTTAATTTTGATCCCCCCCCCTATTTTTCCCTTCACAATCGTCTACGATTGTGCACGATGTGTACGCGACTTTTGCGCGATTCGCTTCTCGACAAAACGTAATACTACACAGATGGCGCTACTAATACCTCAACACATACACGCGCTGCGTATACGGACGACGTGTACGCGGGTATTGGCAAAGTCACGTCGACACCGAGGAAATATTGTCGCCGACAAAATTTCCTAAATGTATTTACTATAATTTTGTTTCCAACTTTGATGTCGACAAAATGTTGTTTTCCAACTAGTGACGGTGAACATCAAAATATGTACACAGACATTGTCAGCTACAATGTCCGCGTGCCTAGACCAGTCAAACTTTGTCTTTGATTATAAAGATAATAATAATGATAACGATAATTACACCCCTCGAAAATCATTATTGCTTTTTGATTCGTTCGTAGTTCGGTTTTGGATTTGATTTGAATACCATTCGTCATCAATACTTTGTAGTCACTATGATCTCGCGAAGTGAAAATGTGTAGCTTTAACATTATACATTTTTATATTTTTTCGCCTTTAAGCTTTATCGGAAACCTACATTTTCTCTTTACAGCTTTTTCAACCACGCACGCGATTGCGGAAATTACAGCATAGTTTTCATCCGACAAAGATCATGCGTCTTTAGTTAGTGGTTTGGTCGAGCGCGCGTTTCTCCACGTTGTCGCTGACGTTGTATGCGTTTCTAGAAATCTGTATGCGACTAACGTAGTCCTTGGTGTGCGGACGCGGCTTAACGTTCGTACAGAAATATCCCGTGGCAGTCGCGGCGCGGCGAGGAGAGTGAGAGGAGGAAGCAAAAAAAAAAAAAAAAACCTACTGATAATTATATGCAGACGCGTTGCGCGTGTAACACTATAATGTTAACGTTACATGCACACGTCGAGTACGTCGCATCGCTCACCGCTGCACGTCCGTGGATGGCCAACTGCAGGCGGCCCGCGAACCGCACTCGACCTGCCAACCCTTTCCGTCCGGTGTGCGGTTACACACGGTACGCGCACACCTTTACACCGCAGTACGATGGTTATGGCAGCGCACGATACCGTATACATACAACTAGTGATGGGAATATTCGATTATTAATATTTGGCTATCGAAATAATTAGCGATGGGCAACGATATCGATATCGTGGCACATTTTCGACACCGATACCGTTCTATTATTGTATGATATATCGTGATGTAAGATTTAATAACTTTTCTCGAAATATATTTTATTTGTAGATTCCAAGCTTTAGTAAATTGTATTGTGTGTGCCGTGTAATAAACCATTAACTAGTGACACTAATAAGTAATAATAATAAAG